CTTCCACTGCTACAATGACACGTACATACATACATACATATTTGCTCACCCAATTCGCCATTTCCTGGCAGTAAAACACACAGGGCCTTCTCCGCAACCCATTCCTGCCCCAGCAGCCATACCCACCTTCTGAGAGTCAGACCTTAGAGGTGACTACCTACTGGCCCCAAGGGCGCTCATCATTTCTTTGGTCTCTGTGGCTTCTATCCCTGTCTCCCTGAGGCAGAGATGTCTTCTGCAGTCCTTCCTTTGGAAAATCTGAAGATTTTTGCAATTGTGCCTGAAAAGAAAGGAAGAAAGGTAGGCAAGAGTCAGTAAACATCTTCATAGTCATCATTATGTATATAGGCTATAGGAGAGCTGCGTGAAGCTTTAGCAGGGGCAGAGTATCAGAGGAGATGAAAGAAAATACCTCAGTATGCTTGATTTTACCTCTTTGCCATCTTTCTCCATATCCTCTATCATGTAACTCTGCCTCTACTTTCGCTCTGCTTATTCACTTCCCTTAAACATGCTCATTTCCATTGTTTTCTACAAAACACCTCTCTCTCCTGATCTTCCACAAGTGGAATGGACAAAAGCCTATAAAGCTTTTAATCAATACATCTAGATATGAATTATCTTTTACCCTCTCGAACGCAGCAAAGACTGTAGTATCTTTTGTGTACCTGCATTAAAGTAAGCTTTGTGAAGACAAGTAGCTCAATTTATAGAATTTTATGGCCAAGTGCTTGTGTACCTGGAAATACATAAACAGCAAAACAGAGGCAGGAGCAAAAGAAAGGGAAGAGGAAAAGAGAAACAAGAAAAGAATAGTATTCTTTAAGAATGGAGATTGAAGAAGGTATGTCGCCCAGCCTTGATGGGAGTAGAGGAATTTAGGGAGCCCTGAGGGAAAAGAGGCAGGACCTATTTGTGACGATAGAAAATTGTAAGAGGAATGAAGACAGGGATGCATTGAGTGAGAGAGACACACATTTAAAAAAAAAAAAGACCACACACACACACAAAGGAAAATTTTAAAAACCTGGTCTATAATTCCACAGCACCAGATAACCCTTAGTGACATAAAAGTACATATTTTACATGTGTGTGGACTTATTTTATATGTGTGAAATATTTATATTTTATAGAAAATGCATTTAATGGTAGGATGTTGAAACAAAAATATAGAGTAAGAAGTGAAAGCATCCCTCCTCCTTCTACCAACGGCAAATTTTTTTCTTTTCTTTTTTTTTTTTTTGTCTCCTTCTGGAACCAAATGGAAGTTTGACTTAAGAGTTTTTATGAGGTGAAAAGAGGATGTTTGGCCAAATCAGAAATGTGGGATTTGACTGACTGATTGCAACGTGTCAATAAAATCTGGCTGGAAGGAGAAAGGTAGCCATCTGAAAATTTGAGTTCCAAGTCTTTTACTGGTAACTCTAAGGTCAGTTTATCCCCACTCCCACCCTCAATTTTTCTTCTAGGAGCTTCAGGGGGAGTGTGTCCCCTCCTGGCCAGCATGCTGGTGAAATGAAGAGGCCACTGGCAGCCTTGATGTACATTTGTTGCTACAGACAGTGCTTTGTATACAAAGATCTAGGACAGAGGCAGGATAGCTGGCTTCTGGAGTACTAAGTACCCAACAAATAAAATCAGCAATTTGTAGCTTTTACCCACGTATAAACTGCTGAATAGTCACAATCAGTTAACAAAAAATAGCTACTATTACCATATTGATTCCTTTAACAAATTTTTATTGAGCACTCTTATATGTGTCAGGTAACTGTGCACTGGGAATACAATCATGAAAAAACCGTAAGCAAAGACAAACTTCCTGCTTCGGAGAGCTTATAACCTAGTTGTGCAAGAAGGCATATATTGATTAAATAAACACATAAATGTAAAATTAAAGCCACATTAAGTGCTACAGTAAAAACGTACAGGGTCTTTTGAAAGTGTTTAAGTGTTGAGGGCAAATCAGGGTGGCAGTGATTTTTTTTTTTTTAAATATTTTTATTTATTTCTAGGAGAGAGAGAGAGAGACAGCGTGAGCAGGGGAGAGTCAGAGAGAGAGGGAGACACAGACTCTGAAATAGGCTCCAAGCTCTGAGCCGGCAGTCAGCACAGAGCCCGACACGGGGCTCGAACCCACGAACCGCGAGATCATGACCTAAGCGAAAGTCGGACGCTTAACCGACTAAGCCACCCAGGCGCCCCGGCAGTGATTTTTTTTGAATGGGAGATTTTCATTATCAATTCCACTGCTTGGCTTATCAATGAACAGTTACCGTATCCATAACTTTTTTGGTTAAAAATTATATAAACATTATTACAAAATTAAACTCTAAAGAAATATGTTCACAATCCCAAACTATTTTCTGACTGAGAACTCCATGTTCTCACAAAATCGTTAATAAATGAAGACCTTGCTTAGGTTCTCTCTTATCCCAAGCTTGGCAGGTATGTTTCATTAAGATGAGAACCAAGGTTTAGGGATATAGATTTTTTAAGTAAGTTGTAGATCCAACATAGGGCTTGAACTCATGACCCTGAAATCAAGATTCACATACTCTACCGACTGAGCCAGCCTAGGTGCCTCAGGTGTATTTTTAAAAAACCCATCTCATAGGGTGCTTTGCTGGCTCAGTCGGTTGAGCGTCCAATTTTGGCTTGGGTCATGATCTCACGGTTCGGAAGTTTAAGCACCACATCAGGCTCACTGCTGTCGGCACAGAGCCTGTTTCAGATCCTCTGTCCCTCTCTTTTTACCCCTTCCCAGCTTGTGCTCTCTCCTAAAAATAATCATTTAAAAATGAAAAAATACCCATCTCACTTCCTTTATAGGCTGTCTCCTCTCTGAACATGCTTCTGACTTTTTCTTTTTTAAACACATATTTAATGTTCCTACTGGATGCCTGGTTTGTATGTCCAACCATCCCTGCCACACAATGCCTCACCATACTTCCTCAGTCCCTGAATCTGACAGTTGATAAATGGACATATGTCCTGGTATGCTTTGGAAGCTAAATTTTTTACTTTAAGTTTTTTAGAGAGATGGAGCTGTATTAGGTAAGATTGTAATATTACCAGAAAAGTTTAAGAGTCTTATTTGTTTTCACAGTTGAGAGGGTCCAATAAAAACTTTCTGATGTTTGTAGACTATTAAAATACTTATATATGAAACCATAAGTGACACATAAAGATTAGGGCCCACTCCTTGTACGTGTCTTCATCTCCTATGGTGAACATTTATTCAGTGCTGTAATAGTACTGAATAAAAATAGGCCCTACCTTTAGATGCTGGCAACTGGGTTAGAATTCTGCCTTTCCTATTAGAATTCTGCCTTTCCTTCTCTGGATGGGATCAAAAGCTATATCCTACTGATCAAAGAGAAAGCCAGCAATACTTTCTGCCCAGACTACAGAATTCTAAAGGCTCTCCTTCTGCTAGTTCAAGGCAGATATGAAGAATACTATTGCTTTTTACAAGTAGGCATTCATTATTCTAGAAAAAGACTGACGTTATCAAGTATAAGAAAATAGTTCAAAGTACTCCAGCTCCAACTACTTGAATTAGTTCTATAATTTCTAGATTTTGCCTCTCTTCCCTTCCCTACCCTTCTCCAGAGTCCCTTCCTAACCTAAAGAGTAAAATTCTGACTCCTTCAGATACAGAATAATGGTAAGAGGGAGATCTGGACAGGACTAACCCTTCCCCACTCTAAACCCACCCATCTATCCCCAAAGGGAGATGAACTCACCAAGTGAACAGCCTTGAAAATCACTAAGCTGGCATTTTAAACTCTTAGTTTTTCTGAATTCCTGTAGACAGGCTGCCAGAATAGGGCAGGAATAGTTCTCCAGGAAAACAAATACATCTCTGAAGCTCACCTGGGTTTACATTAATCTTAAGGGCACTTTCTGAAGTCAGTCTATGGTTTCTGGACCAGAAAAGTGCATTAAACTCAGGCTTCAACCTAAAAACCAGGTCTGGGGAGACTACTCAGGATGGCATGACCCTGAACACATTTGAAATCCCTGTGGCACAGTGAGGTGGGGTAACTTGTCCAATATCACAGCAAGGCAAATGGATGAGGAACATTCAAGGACTTAACTCTCCCAAATATGTGCCCTTTTCCACAACATGATGTCAACAAAGGCCAGGACATCTTCTAAATAGACATTAGTCAAAGCTTTAGAAAAAGTAAATAGCCTCCCCAAGCTCAACACAGGATTCTGCAGCTCTGCACACAAGTTAACAGGGAAAAAAGAATTCTTAGCTAAAAAGATCAGCAACTTGGCATTATTTTTGAGGGAGTAGGTAGAAAACAAGACTCTGAAGCCTCTGTTGAGCCAGGTTATAAATTTCTGACGATGAGGCTGTCAAGAGGAAACTGGGACAGAGATTAGAAAATCTGAGGACTAGGGCACCTGAGGACTGGGTGGATGGTTAAGCATCCAATTCTGGCTCAGATCACGATCTCATGGCTTGTGAGTTCAAGCCCTATGTTGGGGCTCTGTGTTGACAGCTCGGAGCCTGGAGCCTGCTTCAGATTCTGTGTCTCTCTCTGCCCCTCCCCTGCTCATGCTCTGTCTCTCTCAAAAATCATAAATATACATTAAAAAGAAAAGAAAATCTGAGGACTAAGCTTTCTGATCCCTAAGTGGACCCTTTGCGGGAGCTAAGCTTCCAGAGCGCAGGGAGTGCCAACATAAGGGTATATGAAAAGCTTCACAATAGGAAGACACCAAAACCAGACCACTGTTACCTACTCACTACCCACCCAGGCAGCACTGGGGCACAGACTACATAATTTAACAATCTGACATGATGGAAGTAGCCCTAACAAATGGGGGGAAAAACAACTGGGAGGGAGGAGATAGACAACAGGATAGCAGGAGTTCATTGTTCTAGTTTTCCTGTGGAGTTCAAATGTGTGTGGTTTTCAAAACAAAAATCCAGAAAGAAACATGAGGTTAATGCATTTATTCCAAGTAATTAACACATTAAAAATAAAATTAAACTTGTCCAAGCCAACTCATAAATTCTTTAATCTTTTGAACAAAATGTACAACCCCAAACATCACACTATGGTGGAATTAACTTGGGAAAGGGAGAGGTAGAGGAAGGAACACATATGGATTGTGGAACAGAGAATGAGTCCAATCCCAAAACAAGTTTCAGCTCTTCTACCTCTTCAGAACAGAAATGGCTGCTAAGCAATTTAACACAAAATGTTACTGGATCACAATACAATGAACAAAAAGGCCGTTTCAAAAATAAAAATGACCCAAAAAGCATATCTGCTCCTGGCAGTGAGCCATGAATAAGCCTTACCGATTCGTCGTCTTCCAAAAGTGAACCTGCTAGATTTTCTTCCATGTTTATTGAGGCCATTTCCAAAGAGATATGTGGGTTAGCAGGACCATTTCAAGCAAAGGCAACAGAATAAAGGAAGTATGGGGCTGACATGGTACAAGGAAGTAAACAGTAAACAAAAGAGCTACTCACGCTGCATTTCAAACAATGTTAAGGCAGGCCCATCCAAATGGAAGCCTAAGAGATGAACAATCCTTCCTTCATTAGTAGTTTTCCACTTCAGCAGGCTTTCTGTTGTTTCTCCCAGAGATCCATCAGCTGCCCAGGAAATTGGGTAGGAATACAACATAGCAATTGGAGAAGTCAGCTCTCTGTCTCCCTCCACCCCCACATTCCAGAAATGGCAGAGTCAAAGCCAAAATACAATCAAAGCACACTATGTGGTGAGCCAGACAGACATTTTGATTTTAATGACAAAGTAGGAGAAAGCAAATTGGCAAAAAATAAAAATAATAATAATAATAATAACAGAAAATACTTTTTTACAGATATGTATAGAAGTTATGATTGATTTTTCTGGTATCTTAAGAAAAAAGAAAAAACGGAAAAGAGGTAAACTTTTTGGCTTCCATGAACATTTACTGTAAGATGCTTACTGCATCTCTTGGTGTAGGTTCCAGATGAGATAGCCAACTAGTCCTGGATCACCTGGGCACCTTATTTCTAGAAGCCAATTTGATTCATCCACAAGTAGCTCTGGACGTGTACTTTTAGTCATGAACACTGGATTCTGTGTGGTCCTGGGTGGCAGCAACTGAAGCTTCTTGTGCAGTTATTTCCTGAGGGACCATATTGCCTCCAACTACTTGCTCCCTTGTAGGGGATCCTGAAGCCAGAGATTTTACCAAATTCAAAGGGTGGTCAGTGTCCTCATCTACTTGAGGAATTGCTAACTGTGTGGACACTTTCGGTATTTCTAGCTGTAGTGGTCCCGTCTCCAGGGAACTACACTTAGGAGGGTCACCTGGCTCAGAAAGAGGAGAACAGATCTTTTCTTTTTGAATTCCAGATGTCCGTGTGACAAATTCAACAAGGTCTGGAAGGCAAGGAGATGGCCCAAGGCCTGCAGGATGAATTGTTTCTGATTCCAATCTGAGTGAATCTTGTTTCTCTAATTGAGAAGTTTCTTCTACTTCCTCAGGCATCATTCCTCCTGCTAATAGGTCAAGTGCTTGGTGTGTTCCCTCTAAGCTCCCCAAACCAAGGTCAACATTTTCTATAGGAAGTCCAGTTTTCAAAATGTTAGGCATGATCCTTCCACTTCTGGGATTAGATGAGTTTTGTTCACCTTCTGCTCCAAAGTTAAGCACCAGGTTTTTGGGAGAATCTAATGGAAACTCAGGAAAGGATGGGATTGGTTCCAAGTCAGGGAAAGTAGAGGGATTACATCCTACAGGTGACATAGAATTTTCTTCACACACTTTCTGAGACAGGGCATTTGGGGATCTATGTGCTTGGTCTACCCGAGTATTGCAGAAATCAACACCCATATCTGCCAGGTTCCCCAGGGAAGCAACCTCTTCTACTTTTAAGTCTGTAACTGCAAAGTCTTCTAAGGCCTTGCTTTCTATTGCCACTGTTAATTCTGGATGGACATCTTGTAGCTCCAGCGCTTCTGTTTCTGGTTTCTCTGGGCTCTCCCAGGTTTCTGACTTCTTCTTTTCATCCCAAACAGCCAGTTCATAAATCATTTTACCCTGAAAGTCTTTTGATCTTTCTTTCTTGAGTTTGAGGCTTCTGTAACTCATCCTGGAAGCAGATTCTGGAGCTGAATTTTCTAGCCACTCTTCATTACCAGGTGAAACTCCTTGCTCCTGTGTACTGTCTGTTAAACACATATCTGATCTGGCTGGGGACTGGAGAAGCAATTCTGGAACAGAAACTTTCACAGGTGTATCTTGTGGGTTCTGGAGTAAAGACCTAGCTTCTGGCAGAAATGTGTCCATTTTTGCCTTTGTGGAAGAGAGAGCCTGAGCACTCAAGTCACTCACTACCTTACTTTGAGTTTCACTTACTGTTATCAATTTCTTGGACTGTTCAGGCTTTTTGTCTGTTATTTGCACCCCGGGCTCTTCTATTTCTCCCTCCCATGTACATCTGTTTCCATGATTCAAATTAGAATCCTCTATGCTATTGGGCCCAGCACTGATACCAGTTTCCTCTCCTACCATCCCCTCAGAAAGCTTTGGTCTCTTTTTTCTTAGTTCATTGTGTACCTCTGCCTCACTTTCCTCACAATCCTTAGATCTGTGGAGGTCTTGAATTTCCTCATCCTGGTTACCAGATTCTATATGGTGGGTTTCTACCAACTTCTGAGATTCCCTGATATGACAGTGCATATCTGACAGCTGAGGGACTGGTTCTACACCTGGTGGCCCTGGCTCTCCCAGATCAAGCTCGATTTTTCCTCCTGGAGATATATCCCTACTAGCATCACTCTGGAAGGAGCTAGACGTCCACATGGCCAAAGTGTCTGTCTTTGGGGTAATAGTTTCATAAGGCCTGCTTTGGCACAACCTTGTCAGAGGCTGCAGGAATCCATAGCCACTGCCTCTGTTTTCTGAGTCTGTGCGTTCTATAACTGACCATTTCCCTAGGGACACCAGAGTTTTTGCAGTGGGCTTTTCAGGAGCAGAGATCAAACTTCTATTTGGAGGCAACTCCTCTTGGGATGTACTACTGTTCAAAGTAGAAGTGGAAGAGGTGTCTGAACTTTCGACTCTAGAAAGATTGCTATTTTCCCCATTGGCCAATAGACCACCACTCAGCTTAGTCTCAGGGGCCCCCTTTCCACCACTACTGTAGAATATATCATATAGGTCCTTAGCATTGGCTGTGGCTAAGCATGAATTTCGCTTTTCCAATTTTTTGGCTTGTTCACTGAACACACTTGAGAGGGGAGGTGGAGGACGCACTAACACAGAGAACAGGGTCTGGTCTCGATCACTTTCACTCACCCCAGGAGCCGTCTCATCGGAAGGAATGGCAGCTGGCTGTGCTGAGGCCATGATGGCTACTGGCAACACAGGGTTCAAAATGTTAGGACCCAGGAAGCCAGGGCTGAGAGTGTGAGATACAGCTGGGTTTGATTTGACCGGAGCCAAGACAGCATTTGTTTGAGCAGGAGATGGAGAAGCTAGATGAGGTATAACTGGGGGTGGAGGAGGGGGTGGTGGAGGAGGGGGTGGAGGAGGTGGTAGCACTTGTTCAGGTATATGGGATGGCTCATTCTTTTCGGCCAGGACCAATTTTTCCTCTGGAGACCCTTTTAGAATTACCTCTTCCCCACCAAATGCTTTGGAGATTATATCAGGAGGCAAGAGAAGATCAGCTGAAGACTCTTTAACTACTGGTAGAGGCTTAGCAGTAGTTCCAGAGGACTTGATGGACAGAAAGGTGTTAAGAGGAGCTGGCTTGCTCACCGTGGCTGAACTTGACTTGCGGAGTACTGTGGATGGGATAGGTAGGTTGGGTCGGATCTTAGTCTGGGTTGAAGTTGTCACAACGGGCATCCAAGGGCTAGTATGTGCAACAACCGTTTTCCCAGAGAGCTTGATTTTGATGGGCTTTGCCTTCCCAGCCTCAGCTTTCCCATCCTCTTTGTCCTTATTGTTTTCCGCAACCTCTTCCTTAGGAATACTTGGGACCACTGAACTTTTTTCCTCCTCTTTTTCTGGCTTCTTCCAGCTGAATTTCCCAAAAGAAGATGATGTTGGTGATTCTTTCTTTACCTCTTCCTTTAATTGGAGTTTGATGCTAGACTTTCTTTTATTTTCAGCCTTTTCAGGGGAGTTCCCACCCTCAGAGAGTTGGTCCTCTAATTCCTCAGAGACTCTGTCATCCTCTTTTACTTCCTTCAAGACTTTTGCCTTCTTTTCTTTCTTCTCTTCCTTTGGTTTCTCACTAAGTTTGCGCTTTAGCTCATTCTGCCGTCGCCGTTCTGTCTCCAGGACCACAGCCAAGCCAGCTTGACGGTCCAGATTCCGCCGCTCCTCATACAATGGGTTTTCAACCACATATTTCTGGGAAGAGAAAACATAATGGCTCAACAAATGGTCAAAATACAGTAAGAAAGAAAATCTTGGCCCTGCTACTATTGGAATTCAATTGGTAGAAACCCCTAAAGTAGAGTCGTCATCTTTAAGGATACAGATGGTTCTACCAGGTCAGCATCTCATACTAAGGCTGAGGACTTCCTAGTGATTACATGAAATTTGAAGTATTAATGACTTTTTCTGGCTCTGAAGTGGTTTCACAAAGTTAAAAGGATTACTGTAGAAAGTAGGAAAATCCACAACTATAACAAACACCAACCTTGTATTTCTCATTGTGTTGGTGACCCTTTACATGTTGCTCTCCGGAAATTGGATCCCCCAAAAATTCCTCACAGAGCTGGCAGTAATATCCAGTGATGGGAATCAGAAACTCAGACCCTAGAAGCAGCAGAAGTCAGTCAAGAAAACAAGTCATTTCCACCCTGGATGTCAGTAAAGGAAATCCCGCTTCCCTTTGCAGTAAAAAAGTTAATGGTATACAGGACCTTACCCACTTTCCAATCAGAAGAAGCATTTAGATGAATCCGAATGGCACAGTTTTCCCAATTTAAAGCTTGAACTCAGGACCTCTAGCCCTTCTACCTCTTGGGAACACTAAGTGGTTAATTCAGGAGTTTTCTGTGCCAGACTCATTTCTGTTGTTGACTCTCCTCAAACTCCAACTACCACTAAGCATCGGAGCAGATTTAAAAACTATACTCCCAAACAGCTAGCTCATTACCATTTGTATGAGGATCTCTCATGTTGGTATTAATTACTCAGGAACCTACCTTCCAAAGATCTAAAGGATGGAGCAGTGTTGACTACTTATGGAGGTAAGAAATTGAGAAGTAAAAACACAAAGAAACTTTCCACTTCTCAACTTACCCCCAATAACAACTATTCAAAAATATTTTATAGTTCTTAGTTGAAAAAGCAGTTAAATAACCATACTTTTACTGTTCTTTATTTATCTGGACTTTAAATAAATAAGATTTCAGTGGATAAATCAGTGACCAAAAAACTTATATATATATTTAGAAAAATTTTTGAAGTAGGCTCCATGCCCAACATGGGGACTGAACTCATAACCCTGAGATCAAGAGCTGCATGCTCTACCAACTGAGCCAGTAGTATGTGGTATGTATATGCTTAACATGTGTTAGATTTCTGGCCATATGGGTAGAGGGCATTTCTTGTCTTACAGATCTCTATTTCTTTAGACTCTATTTCTTCTATGTTTTGCACATAGAAGGCATTCTTACACCTCTGTTAACAAAACAGTTATGTTTCATCCTATGCTGCTTCCTAGTACCTAGTTCAGGGACACTTCTTCTTTGGCCAAATGTAAGGAAACTACAAATGGAGTCGGGGGGAACATACCTTTTGCAGGAACAGTTATCTTGTCAGTACGTTTTACAGCATCTTGCTTGGCCTCACTCTGGGTCTTTGAAGCCCAAGGTCTGTTGTAGGGATCCAGTGTCTATTTGCAAGAGGCAGAGGCGCTCACATAACAGCACTAAAACTCAATGACCCACTTTTCTTTCTTTTTTCTCCCCCACACCAGGGGGGACCAGAAGCCCCCAGATACCCACCCCCACCCTCTCTGTGAACTGTTTAAACGGATATCACCTGTGGAAAAGGTAAACAAATGTTAGAGCAAGTACTAGCAACAGATAAAATGAAACAAATAATCAGGTACTCAAGGAATCAAAAGAGGCAGAAGCCTCACTTACACTTGTCATGGTGTTTAGTTACAGGCAGGTCCCCTGGACTGAGCCCTGGGGATGGTGTCTCCTTTGTTGGTATCTCTTGGATCTTCAGATTGGGGCTCCTGCCCATATGAGAATGTTTCATTTTCCAGCTTTGTAATGCAGATTGGGGTGTAGATGTTTGAGGGGAAGGAGGGTGAGAACGGAAAGAACAGTGGGCAAGATACCTACCTGTGTGTGCTTCTTATTGTGCATATGAGTGAAGAAGTCAAACATGGTCCCACAGATGGTGTTGCAGTCTTTGCACCAGTGATTGCCAGCATCATAATACTCATACGCAGCAATGGGCTGATCAGACTGCTTAACAGCTGGCTGGGGGCTCTCAGCAGGCTTGGGGCTCTTAATATGGGAATTCTCACTGTTTACCTTGGATTCCTAGAGGGAAAACACCTGCACTCAGAAGGAATTCAAGGTAGTCTAGATCTGTCTTCTCTCAAAAAAAGCAGGTAGCGTATCGCTATAATATAGGACCATGTGACCATATTTCCAGTGCCTATATCTATATAAACTGGGGAAAACCTGAGAAATCTGTCTGCAAGGCTCAAATAGAACTAAACTCCATAGTGCTGCCTTATCATGGAGAATACTTCATAATGGCAATATATTTACTTATGTAACCTAAAATATTTAGAAAAATACTCAATGTTATGGAAACACTGGCTGCCTCTGGAGAGGGAAGTAGAGAACAAAGATGGACAGGAGTCTTTTTATTATATACCCTTTGGTAGATGTTGAATGTGTTCTCTATGCAATTAAATATGTTAAATTTAAAAATCATAATGACAACTACAAAGAAAAGAAAAAACAATGTGGAAAAGGTAACTGACAGGTTAAACAAATGCAGAAAACAAGTCAAGGTGGCATTCAGGTACACAGAACTGGAGAGCTGGGTGGGCATTGTGCATAGATAAGGCAGATAGTCATCTACATGGGATGACTTAAAAGAATCTGGGCAAAATATTTCAAACTGCCTAAAATACCATCATTAGAATTTAACACCTTTGAGTCAACATGAATCCTCTTTTAAAACATATCAACTCCCCAGATTAAGTTATCAAAAATAATACTTTAATATGAATTCATGTGTCAGCAAGCTGGGAACAAGGTACTTAGGAAGTAAGAATCTTGGTTAATGTGGGGGAGTGAGGCTCAGAAAAAAATTTGGAACAGGGAGGGTAAGTATGAATGAGGAGACAAAGTCAGGGAACTGGGCACATGGGCTGCTAGGGAAAGGAAGACAGGCTGGAGAAAGAGAAACAATTAAGACTTCAGAGATAATCTTTCCCTACTAGAGTCTTATTCAAGAGTCACTAAAGAGGGGTGCCTGGCTGGCTCAGTTGGTTAGGCATTGTACTCTGACTCAGGTCATGATCTCTCAGTTTGTGGGTTCAAGCCCCACACTCGGTTCACTGCTGTCAGTGCAGAGCCTGGTTCAGATCCTCTGTCTCCCTCTCTCTACCCCTCCCCTGCTTGTGTTCTCTCTCTCAAAAATAAATGAACATTAAAAAAAAAGAGTCACTAAAGAAATCACACCCAGCAGGTAAGGGATGAGTTTGTGTATACCCCGCTGGCAAGTATTGACTGGCACTATCTTTCCAAAAGATATGTAGAAATACATATCACATACCTCAAAATTCTTTATACCCTTTGACCTAGTAATTCCAGTCCTTGACATTTATCCAAAGTAAATGATTATGTCAAATAGGAGGTGATTTGATTGGTTAAATAAATGTCGGTATCAATACAATAATTTAAAAATAAGGTCATTTAAAATTATATTATAGGGATGCCTGGGTGGCTCAGTTGGTTAGGAGTCCAACTCCTAATTTAAGCTTGGGTCATGATCTCATGGTTCATATGAGATTGAGCTCCATGCTGGGCTCTGCACTGACGGCATGGGGTCTGCTTAGGATTCTCTCTCTTCCTCTTTCTCTCTTCCCCTCCCCCCCGCAAATAAACTTTAAAAAATATTTTGAAAATAAAATATAGAAATCTACATGGCAAGAGGTTCATGAGATACTGAAAAACTAAATACATTTGAATAGTCAAAAAGGATATGCAAATAGGCACATAATGTCAAATATCATCTTATCCAAACAACTTTCTGTAACTACTCTATATCCCTTTATCCTGTTTTCTTTTTTTAAGGCATTTATCATTACCTAACCTGTACTTGCTTATGTATTATCTTCTTCTATTTCATGACAGTTAGGACCTTGTCTATATAGTTCCTTGCTATACTTCCCTCTATCTAAAATAGTCCCTGTCACTTTCGTGGGAGATCAATGAGTATTTGTTTAATGAATTATAAGCAGAAAATGAATAGCTGGAATAATATACAAGGTATTAATGACAGTTGTCTCTAGCTAGATGAACTGTGGAATTGTGTGTGTGCTTATTTTTACGAAATGAGTAGAAAGAAAACCTCAAACCAACTATGCATATTAAAGAGAGGCAAAGAAAGAAAAAAATACCAACCAGAGGAAAGAGGTTGTAGGCACGACATTCCTTACCACCAACATGAATACGGAGTTGTAACATATCCATGTTAGCCTCAGAGACCATGAAGCCTCATTCAAATCAAGATGATATGTCATCATGAGGCTGGTGCATAAGCAGACCCCAAACAGTGTATAAGTCAACTATAAAGGGCCAGAACTTTTAAGTTCTTCTCCCATCAAAGGCCCTGAACTCAATGACCCTGGTACAAAAAAGAGCACAGAACTACCTGGTTGAAAAGAGAACTCTCCCAGGAAGACATGGAAAAATTAGAGCTTGGTTGATAGAGAATACAGAGTATCCACTTCTCTACCTCTCCAACATTAACTGAATATCTACTGTGCCCTAGACAAAGTGGATACCACGGAAAACACAAAGATAAATGAGTTCTACTCTTTTATTCTCAGGAAGTTCTTACTTAGTGGAAGAGATAGGCATAGAAGAGACATCATCTTAATTTAAGTTTTAAATAAGACAGAATGAAAAAAATCTTATAAAGTAACAATAATACATTATGAGAGAGTTGACTATATTAAAGAAGGGGTGGGGTGAGGCGCCTGGGTGGCTCAGTTGGTTAAGCATCCGACTTTGGCTCAGGTCATGATCTCATGGTTCGTGGGTTCAAGCCGTGTGTCAGGCTCTGTGCTGACAGCTTAGAGCCTAAAGCCTACTTCAGATTCTGTATCTCCCTTTCTCTCTGACCCTCCCCTGCTTGTGCTCTGTCTTCCTCTCTCTCTGCTCCTCCCCTGCTCACTATTTCTTGCTTTCAAAATGAATAAACATTAAAAAAAATAAACTAATTTTTAAAAGTTTATTTATTTATTTAAGTTTATTTACTTTGAGAAAGAACATGAGTATACACACAGGGGAGGGGCAGAGAGAGGGAGACAAAGAATCCCAAGCAGGCTTTGCACTGTCAGTGTGGAGCCCGATGCATGGTTCAAACTCACAAATCGTGAGATCATGATCTGAGCTGAAACCCAGAGCCAGCCACTTAACTGACTGAGCCACCCAGGTGCCCCTGAAGTTTATTTATTTTGAGAGAGAGAGAGCATACACATGAGCAGGAAAGGGGCAGAGAGAGAATTCCAAGCAGGATCCGTGCTGTCAGTGTGGAGTCTAATGTGGGGCTCAATCCCACAACCCTGGGATCATGACCTGATCCGAAACCAAAAGTCAGACACTCAACCAAATAAGCCACCCAGGTTCCCCAGCCAGTATGAAATTATTACAAGCAAGGGAGAAAAGAAGCATGAAATGAGACTGTAGAAGTAAGGGAGTATTGTAATCACTGGCTTATATGTGGAGAAAGGATTAAGAGTGTAGCCATACAGGGGCGCCTGGGTGGCTCAGTCGGTTAAGCATCCGACTTTCGCTTAGGTCATGATCTTGCGGTTCGTGGGTTTGGGCCTCGCGTCGGGCTCTGTGCTGACTGCCAGCTCAGAGCCTGGAGCCTGTTTCAGAGTCTGTGTCTCCCTCTCTCTCTGACCTTCCCCTGCTCACGCTGTCTCTCTCTCTCTCTCCTAGAAATAAATAAAAATATATTTAAAAAAATTAAAAAAAAAAAAAAAAAAGAGTGTAGCCATACAAGCAAGAATTAAAGGTGGCTTGAACTTGGATGGCAATGAAGATGGTGAGATAGATGAAACTGAGATTTACTTTGCAGGGAGAACTGGAAGAATCTGTCACTGATTTTGTATGGAACAGTTAAGGAGAGGAAGCACTAAGAACGCTTTTCAGATTGTTGGCATGAAAACTATTGGACAGTGGGGCCACTGAGATGGGTAACAATGAAGGCAGAAAAGAGGAAGGTTGCACACATTGTTAGTTTAGCTTAGGGTATGTTGATTTTGAAGTGTCTATGAGACAATGAAGTAAAGATGGTAAGTAAACTGTGGGACCTCAGGTTTGGACCTCACCAGACTCCTCTGAGCTGGAATATAAAACTAGAAGTTGTCAGCATGTATTTCAGCGTAGACCTGGATGAAATGACCTAGGGAAAAGGAATTCTGGAGAACTGGGCTACAACTGAGTCGTAAAGAACTAAAATATTTAAATATCAGGCAAAACACAATAGGCAGTAAAGGATACTAAGCAGCAGCAGCCAGCATACTAGGAGGAAAAGAAATGAGAGAGAAGCCAAGGGAAGAAAGCATTTTTAGAGAGAGTGCTTCCCTGTATCAAATACTGATGAGGACTAAAATGTATTCCCTGGCTATGCAGCATGTGGTGACCCTGTTGCTAACCAACAACCCCAAAAATGGTGTATATATATATATATATATAAGTTACAAGAAGATTAGAAGCCAGCTGGAGTGGGTTAAAGAGTAGAGGCTAGAGCAAGAATATGGAGGGCCCTAAATGCTGAGGATTTGGGATTCTACACTGTGACCAACGAGAACTGCTAAACTTCTGAAGTAGAGTCCCATTTATCTGACCTATGCTTTACAAAAATAACTCTAATAAGAGTAAGAACAGGTTGGAAAAGGAACTAAGAAAATGGTTAGAAAGCTTCTTTTGGAGTCCATGGAAATAAAAGATATAACAGAAACAGAAAGGGACACCTGGCTCAGTTGGTAGATCATGCGACGCTTGATCTGATTGTCATGAAACTGAGCCCCACGTTGGGCACAGAGCCTACTTAAAATAAAATTTTTTTTTAAAAAGAAATGGAAAAGTTGAGTTGTTACCTTGCTGTTGGAAGAGGAGTTTGAGGATGATGACATTTTTTCTGGGCTCTTAGATTTTTCTGCTTTCCCAGCCTTCTCTGTAGTCTCTCTACTGTCATTTGAAGACTTTTGGGATTTATCCAAAATGTTAATTCCCAAGATCTGAGCTACTTTGTCCAGTTCAGACTGTTTCTTTTCTGCCTCTTCTGCCTCTTGTCGAAGTTCTGCAATGTCCTTCATGATGTTATCCTGAAGCCGACTCACCTCCACCAGGAGTGGGTCTTTGTGGCCATCCTTCTCCCTTCGTTTCTTACGCAGCATTTCTCCTGAGTAGACAAACGTCAAAAGGAAGAAACACAAGGGAAGTAAGTTAAGACAGGTCATTTTTCTGTCACAAGTAGTAATCTCCCAAGAGTTTATGGTCACAAAATCTTTTTCCTTAAAACTTTCCTTTCTAAGGGCAAGAAAGACTCTCCTACCACATGGGCTACTTTAGGTGAAGCTTCTATGGAGGCAAAGGATAAGTGATTACATTATCTCTTCTGTAGGAGTCATTGGCTAAGGATCTACAAGCAGGTTTCAGGAGCTCCATGAATCCCCCAAATGGTATATATATAAGTTTGTGTGTCCTTGTGTTGTTAACTAGAATCCAGTGGCAGTCTTCTTCAGAGAACCAAAGAATTCCTCAGACGGCAAAAAGCACTCAGTTACATATTTCACTTTATCTGATTTAAGGACCCTTTACCAGAGCCTATGTTGAATGTTAGGTTTTGCCTCGGGTTCACCTAATGCTACCTCCTATTCCAAACAGAAGGTCCTCATGAATAATCCTCACAGGGTTAAGAACTAAATTGCTTATCCATAAACAGTCCAAATGTATCTTCTCTCACTCTCTATTCTTCCAAGCTATCACCAAGCTGTAATATTTAGATGTCTTACTATGTTCTTTCCTCAGTGTGCAGGTGAATTCCTAAAGGCACAGATGAAGAGATAGAATCAAAAGAGGCATCATGGAACATCTTTTTGTGCAGAAAATAAGGAAGTACTTAAAAAATGACCCTGTAAGGGCTCCCACAGGCCAAATCTGGGACAATGTGGGCATGAAAATAAATGACAGTATATTATTATAACTTGTTGAATGAAAAATGGAAAATCCATGACTTCGCACCAATATAAATCAATAAATGGGAGAGGAAGGATGGGTAGGAAGCTCATCATCATAGTAGAAAAACAACTAGTAAAGGTAGAAGGAATAATGAGACTAGAAAATCACTAACAACCGTCATAATAACTGATTTAGGCAAGAATCACCAATGAATGCTAAACTAGTGAGAGGAGATTTGAGGAGTAACTAAACATTTACACAGTCTCGAAGTATCTCTCCTATGAGTTACTAACTATAAAGGGTAAAATAATAACTTTACGGCAAACAAATCCCTGAAGACACCACCTTAATCAAATGATCAAAGTTGATATCACCTGGGACAAATCAATACTTGATACAAACTCAGCATCACTTCCGTGACGCTCCTGTCAAAAATGCATAACCTAAATTTAAATATAAGGAAGCATCAGACAAACCAAAATTAAAGCACATTCTATAAAATATGTGACTTCTTTTCTAAAACGTCAATATCATGAACTATAAAGATCCAGGAAATGTTACAGGAAAAAAAAAAGTAAAAGAAAATGACAACTGAATGCAAGGCATAATTTTCCATTTTCTTTTGCTTTAGGGCATTATTAGGACAACTAGTGGAATATAAATAAGATCAGTAGACTAGCATTACATTATGGTTAATTTCCTAATTTTGATAAGTGTACTATGGCTATGCAAATTAATACTATGTTGTTAGGAGATACACAATGAAGTATTTAGGAGTTAAAGGTGTTTCATATATAAAACAAAGAATTCAGGTAAATTCACACACATACACACAGATTGAAAGGAAAGAAAGGATACAGCAAATATGGTAAAATGCTAATAATCATGGAGAATACCTGAGAATTCTTTTTTTTTTTAATTTTTTTTTTTAAATTTATTTCTAGGAGAGAGAGAGAGACAGCGTGAGCAGGGAACGGTCAGAGAGAGAGGGAGTCACAGACTCTGAAATAGGCTCCAGGCTCTGAGCTGGCAGTCAGCACAGAGCCCGACGCGGGGCTCGAATCCACGAACCGTGAGATCATGACCTAAGCGAAAGTCGGACGCTTAACCGACGAAGCCACCAGGCGCCCCCCTGAGAATTCTTTAGACTATCTATTGCAACTTTTCTACAAGTCTAATTAAGCCAAATTTTTTAGAAAGCGAGGCTTCAGGTCACTGAACTTGTCTGAGAGTCCCCACAGTTCTCCATTTGGGTCTCCTACTCAAGTTACTACAAAAAGGCCATTGTGCACAGGAGTGTCTGATACCTTGTTGTTTATGAAGCCGCTCCAATTCAGTCCTGAGGTAGTACATCTTCTTCTGGCGAGCTTCCCGGTCACTCTTTAGCTTTTCCCTCTCTTCAATAACCTGCAAAGTACAAAACAGTAAGAGTGTCCTTCAGCCTCCAACATCCTCCCCTTTCTATTGCTCTCTTCTCTAAGTCCTCATGCCAGATGATATCTGAATCCAAGGACCCAAATGTCTACACAGAGAAGTTCTGACTTTATAGCAAAGGAGGTATTTCAATCTCATCCACATTCCAGAACAGAATTATCCTTTTCAGAGTTACATTGTCCAGAAAGCATTATTTTTATGCAGAAAGCACTATACTATTAATGTTAACCTAAAGGCACTGACAGCAACTATTAGACAATGGTTCTGAGCTCAAAGGGAGCCATCAAAAGGGAATTAATGAGCGTTACAGGTTACACACTGTATTAGTTGCATTACATAGATCCACTTATTTAATCCTCATGATATTATCCTTGTTTTACAGTAAGAAAACTGAGGTTGTGAAAGATAAAGTAATATATCCAAGGTCATACAGTGAGAAGATTGAAATTCCAGGCATATTAGATAAATAGATAGATAAGATAAAATCCAGGTATATACATCCTAAAACACACAATGTTTCAACCGCATTACTACTAGTTGATGGAAAAAACAAATACAGCTTGTCTATAGCGGACTAGTGTAGAAAACCCGTATAGTATCAGCCCTGACTTAAGTGCTAGGATCTTGAAGTAGAAGTAAAAGAAAACACTCAATCTCCAAACAGCGTCTGTGCAGTCTCAGGTTTTGTCTGTATTGAACCTTCCTCCTCTTTTCCAAAAGACTTCAACAGAAGACTGAAGCTTATAGAGTACCCAAATGTAATGAAAAATTAAGAAGTGATTTTTGTTTTTTCAAGAATTAGCTAAATTTCTTTTAAACTGGAAAAAAACGACCCCCATTTTTTCCTTTCCTTTTTTTCTTTAGATTTTAATTATTTTACTAGCAAACCAAATTTAATACACTACATTTTTATGTTCCTAAACAAAGTGAGTCATTAGTTACTAAGGGCCTTTACATTAAAAATACACAATAATTTTTCCATTTGAAGTCCTGTTGTTCTATCTTCCTCATCCCTACATAATTTTTACCTGCTGTTTTGAAATACCTAGTATTATTACATCTTTACCCCAGCCACTGTTCTCTTCCTATACCTGAGAACCCAATGAACTTTGCAATATAAAAACTATTTTTTAAGTGTCAAAAAATATGTTGTATTCTTGGACTCTAAAACCAACCAGAAAAAGGAAAGCTTATTTCCTAATTACCAGGCAACAACCAGGTATTAGCTTTTAACCCACATAATCACTAAAGGAAAAGGATCCAAAATTCACTAGGATGAAAATACCAAAACACTAGGATGAGATTTACCGATTCTCCTTCACCCAATCCAATTTTGGTTCCTCACTCCCTAATGAGGTCATATTGAAAACTTCAAGGCTCTCAACTCCTACCCATTGTGTTCTAAGGCCAATAATTCTGATAGAGAAATAAATTTAAAAAAGAAAAAAGAAGTCAAGCTATTACAGTGGGACCTAGGGCTAGAATTTAGTTTAGTCCTAATGAGAAAATGTGAGAAAAACAGAGGGGGTATATACATTACTTAGACTGAGGACAGCAGCCTCCAAAAAAGGCCCTTACACCCTCTAAAAGACAAATACCAATTTGCGTTAAAATAGAAGACTCAGGTACAGGATGCCCAAAGCTAATATTCACCTTCTGCTTCTGGGAAGCACGGTTCTTCTCATCAGAGATCTTCTCTGGATTGTATCTTATGAGTGATGGTATGGCCACCTGGACAGGCACTTGGGCAGTAGGAATTGAGCCTAGCACTGACTCCTCCTGCTTGGGCTCATCAGGAGTCACAGTGGGGATTACACGGAGATTGGGACGGCTACGAGTAGCTTGTTTGGTAACTGGTAGTACCCTGTGTGGTTCAGGTAGAGAGTGGTTTGATGGTTGAGAGGCAGGGTACATGGGCCACCTTGAGGCTGCATATGCCATGTAGTGCCTATAGGCATCAAAGGAAGCAGGAGGAATGGCAGGTCCCTGGTAGTTTGGAGGTATCCGAGCTGTAGCAAACTGAGAGGCCCTTGGCATATGAAACTGTGATAAAGAAGCAGGGTGTGTAAGTCTAACTGGGGCAGATGGGGCTGATGGTAACATGCATCTGACTGCCACAGATGACTGAAACCCACTGCCAACCACCTCTGGTCCTGTAATAGGACCCACTGAATGGTCAGACTTTAGGAATGGGGGGCTGTTTTTTGTGAGCAGGTAAGGGTCTACAGGGGAGACTGGATGTGGATGGGACACCTCTGGGGAATGGGTATTGCTATGGTGTGCCTCTCTGCTCTCCAGTCTGTGAGGGTCTGAGGAGTGCCGATCAGCTGAGAAATGGTGGTCAACTGAGGAACAGTGTTCTGCTGAAAAGTTCCGGTCAACTGATGGACGGCGGTCAGCAGAGGAACGTGATGGTTTCTTGCCATGAAGTCGTTCCTGAGTGCGTGCAGCCAGTTTACTAATCTCTGCTACCCCAATATCTAGCCCAATGGTCTTGAGCAAGTCATGAATCTTGGCATATTCTGGATTGCTCTCTTCTATGGATTCTAGTTTTACAGCTGGAGCTGGAGAGGGCACAGAGCTTGCCTTCTGTCTCATGACTTCATTCTCAGAGCTCCCAAAGGGCTTTGGTGGGGATTCTGCCTTTAAATCCTCTTCTTCGTCCCCATAGAGAAATTTCTCCTCATCCTCAATGTCAGGGAAACTACGGCGCCTTTTTTCCTGTGTACTGGTAGAATCTACCAGCATGCTCAAAATGCGGGAAAAACCACTGCCATCCTGGCTAGCTCTCTCATGGGGCAGCAAGAAGTCTGTGTGTCGTTCAGGCCCCTCAGCCTTCATATTCAATTTTCCCTTGTGGCACAGAAAACTTCCAAACTTCTCTCTGAGAGGACTGTTGTCTTTGGGCATCCCAGGGAGGGGACCCCATTGATAGAGGTTGCTCTGAGGTTCCTTCAAGGTAGTCTCTACCATAGTCCCCTTGGTTTCAATCTCTGAGGCAAAAGCAGCAATAGCACCACTTAGTGGAAGAGACGGGTGACCAGAGTAGACAGGGTGATCCTGGCTGGAGCTGGTATTGCTGGAAAAATTCTCAATCTGCAAAGACAGACACAAAGATTTAGCCTCTATGTAGAATCTCAGAAAACTAGTAACTGAAATAAATACTTAAACACTTGGTTCTTCTTGAATAAACAGGGTGATGCTAAGTATGAATGAAAGGGAGGTACAGTATACTTAGGAAGGTTCAAGATTTGGGTCTCCATCTCTCCAGATGCTTCTGCTGTAGCTAGGGACACAGGAAATAAGGTAGATTGGCATGTATTTTTAGTTTCGCCCATTTGTTGAAGTCCTTGCCAAGGAATACAAATTCAAAAGAATTTGAGACATATACTCTAGCTAACTTGTTTCTTTTCTATGGGTCCCTCAAAGGGGGAAAAACATGTAAAACTGGAGCCACTTTGATTGAAGTGAGATTAGGAAACTCGGAAACGTAACTGATCAGCCTCCCCTTGCTTCCTTACATGCCCTTAGGTACTTCTTCAGAAACTTTTAGCTCCTAGGAGAGTAGCTAAAAACTAGTCCTCATGCCTGACCATCTTTTCATGGATGAGGAAAAAAACATCAAGGCCCAGTAACTTGTCTAAAAATCACACAGCAAGTGGTGGCAGTGGGCCCAGAATCAGAATCACCTAACTTCTGGTCTAGTGTCTACTAATAAATCTTTTCTCTCTAATGAGAAATGAGGAAAATTCAGATCATCTCCTCTCTTTGCCCTTCAAGCTTCACTTCCAAGAAATCCATATTCAAAGATTCCTATAGGGCTATCCAATTTAGAGGAAAAAAAAAAACTTTCAATAACTTCTCTCCAAAATGTTTACTTAGAAAGCCTAATATATGACAATAGAAGCCCTCAACTGATGCATTATGAGGCCTATAGTTTCCTCTGGACAATCCTGAAACATACTACATTACAAAGATACCATTATGGACACAACCCTCAGGAAAGTAATGGAGTTTTAAGATGTTAGAGGGACTAGCAAGAGATTCTAGAAGAAATGTAGCAGAGACCTGAATGGAAGGCTCCATGTCCACCTCAATCCGTTTCTTCAGAATTGACTTCTTGGGCATCACAGATACTTCCTCAGGCCGATGTAAAGAATACCCTGGCTCTGATGTTGTTAGGACACCTGACAGTCCAGGAATGGGACAGCTAGTGTCACCACCATCAACTCCGACCAGCTCCTGACTCAAGCTCCTACTTCGTTCCTCCTCCTCTTCTCGTTTTCGCCTGGCAAGGTCCAGCTCTCGAAACTCAGGATCTAGAAACCTTGGGCTTGGGCTTCGTCTACGCTGTCGATAGTTGCGTGTCCCTGATGAAAAACCTGAGTGATCACCTCCCATGCTATGTATCTTCTCTGTGTCATCATAACGGGGCCGTTTGGCCTCCCGGCTCCTTTCCTCAGGTCGTACAGAGTAGGAGCCTTTGAGTTTATCTCTATTCCGTTCTGTTCCCCGCAACAGCTCATCATGACAACTGATATGGGGACTATAATCAGAACGATGCAGGAAAGTTTCTCTTGTCCGGTAGTCCTCATCTAGTTGTCCCAAGAAGGGACTGAGAGGTCCCTCCTCCCGGGAAATATATCGTTCAAGACCTCTAGAGCATTGGGAGCTTCGAGTGAAGACCGAATCATCAGTCAGGTCATCCCTGAGGAAAGAGACAAGCGTCAGTGAATACAATGGACTTGCAAAGAGCAAGAGCAAAGAAGCCACTAAGAGGCTGACATTCAGCAAGGGGGCTACCGAATACTTAGGGAAAAAGACAAAAATCATGAAATCCAACAAATCTATGGAAAATTCCTTCTTCCTTTCCCCTGGGCACACACAGCTTCAGCCTCTAACCAAGGGGAACTATTACTAATCTATCTAGACAGACTTCTTAGGCTAATCTATTTGACTAGACTTTGGGGGTGCAGAATATCACATGAGGGTTTGGAAGCTTTGAAAACATCACTACCAGACTACAAAAAATGTCCGTTACACAATTCCACACTACTTTAAATTCTAGCTCTTTGCTATCAAAAGTGTGGTCTGAATCAGCAGCATGAGTATCACCTAGAAACTTTAGAAATATAGATTCTCAAGCTCCATCCAGGCCTATGGATTCAGAATCTACATTATTTTAACAAGATCTTCAGATGATTTGTATGCCCTTTTAAACGTGAGAAACAGGGGCACCTGGGTGGCTCGGTCGGTTAAGCATCCAACTCTTGATTTCAGCTCAGGTCATGATCTCGTGTTCATGACATTAAGCCCCCAATGGCTCTGGTGCTGGGCGTGGAGCCTGCTTAAGATTCTCTCTCCTCCTCTCCTTCTGCACCCCCTCTCAAAAAAATAAATAAATAAATAAATAAATAAAATGTGAGATATATCAGGCCAGGTCAATGGTTTTCAAGTTGTATTATACAGAGACTCTTAAAAGTGCTTAGGAGCTGCCTAAAGGAAGGACAGGCTAAGAAAGCAGAGCCTGCATGGCTCTGGGCCTTCCACCTCACTGAGACCACTGTACTGGCCCCAACTTTTACTGTTTATAATGTAAAGTTCTGTGTAATATACCATTTGGAAAATAAATACTTTACTCTGGGGAAGATTTTTTTTTTTTTTTTTTTAACTACTAAGCTATCTAATTGGCACGACTTTCTCACAAGTTTTAGAAGGTTTTCCAATGCTCTGTTTTGCTAACTTACATATTAAAAACCATAAAATTCCTTCACAGCCTGTTTTGCTCCCTCTTTTCTACTTTGCTGGATATCCACAAGACTCTGCTAATCCTGGGTCCTGGAAAGAGTATGGGATGGTTTGGCTCACTATATGTTTTTATTTTCATAGAAATAAAATGGTCTTGGACCTTTGTGGCATGAAGATAAAAATATAGGACGGGACACCTGTCCTTTCAGCTCAGAGCTCTATACCACACAAAATAGTCCTAATTTTTTGGGGTACTACAGTCACATAGCTTCTCCTGCCCAAAAAAGAAAGTTTCTGATTTAATCATAGATAGAAACAAAGATCCTCCAGCATTCTAAGCATACAACTTTTAAGTAATCTGAATGAAAAATTTATATGTCAGGGTACCTGGGTGGCTCAGTTGGTTAAGCATCCAACTCTTGATTTTGGCTCAGAAGATGATTTCACAGTTCGTGAGCTCGAGCCCTGCATGAGATCATGACCTGCGTTGGGCTCTGTGCTGAGAGTGCAAAGCCTGCTTGGGATTCTCTGTCTCCCTCTCTTTCTTACCATCCCCCCCCCCACTTGCACCTGTGCATGCACTCTCAAAAATAAATACACATTAAAAAAAATTTATGTGTCACTCACATTCCACTCACATTGGTGTTTTCTAGTTTCTAGTACATACTTTTGTGTTTTGTAGAGTTTCTGAGAAATAACTTTTCTTTGATTTTGCTTTTTGGTTGCTTTCTCTGGGACTGAGTTAGCAGAACATCAAAGAGTTGCCTTTTCCTATGAACTTTCTTGTTCTTCAGTGGCACCTAAAACTGCCGCCAATCCTCTAGCATTTTCTTGTTACTAAAAGATGGGACTGCCCCCATTCTTAATAGAGGGGAGAGATGTTTGGGCAAGGGGAAGGAGCATACGTTACTGTGGAGAAGCCCTCACTGACGCACAAAGCCCCGGGGGTAACGATAAGGGCCCCACAATCAAGAGTTGCCTTTTCTTACTCACCAGTCTAGAACTTCATTCAAAGTTTTAGACCTGGGCCACAGCTATAAATAATTTTACAAAAGAATATCGAAGATAAACTTTATCAACTCCTCTAAAAGAGTGCCACCCGTGAGAATCCAGGTTCCTGTTATTCACCTCCTCCCCAAGCATCTGGGGAATTTTGAGGTCTTGATATAGTATAAAACAGGAAAAAATGGGAATGAACCAAGGATGATCTCTGAAATCAAACATAATTAGAGTAATACATTTTACTCTATAGGTTTGTCAGCCATGAACATGCCTATTTCCAGGGAGGAATGTCCATGAGCCACTCCATTACTACAACACCATTTACCATAAAAAAAAGTCTCTGATTGTATTAGTGTAGAGGAAAAAACACAGCAGAGGGGAATGGCAAATTCATCCATTCTTCCATATTTAGCTACCCACTAGAACTATTACATATCGCCACACAATGGCCTACTAGCTCAAGATCTAATCCAACAGTAAATATCAAGAGGCTAGAAATAATGAAATGACTCCCAGAAAGGCTCAATCCAGACTTGTAACCTTCAGCAAAAGATGGCAAAAACACCACAATGAAAAAAGGTATATTAACAGTTAAAAGAATAAACTATCATACATATACATCATGCATGTATATCATGCAAAATAGAAATCATTGACATCTATACAAGCAGAAATCAAGATGCTTATTAGAAGCTCATGTCTTCCTTCCCCAGGTCTCCCAAAAGATAAGAGAAAGAACTGGCTATGGGTAAAAGTGAGCTCTAAAAGGGGCCCCATTCCCTGTAGCTCAGAATAGTCCAGGGACAGACTCTCTCTGGAAGTTTTAGTTAAGTCCAACTCTTTTCTAAATTAAAGTCTATTTAAAAACTTGATAGGGTGCCTAGATGGCTCAGTCAGTTAAGCATCCAGCTTTGGCTCAGGTCACGATCTCATGGTTTGAGTTCAAACCCTTCATCAGGCTCTGTACTAACAATGCAGAGCCTGCCTGGGATTCTCACTTTCTCCCTCTCTCTCAAAAATAAATAAACTTTATAAATAAATAAACAAATAAAAAGGCTGATTTGTGGCTTGCTATATGGGTACATGGGTGCTCACTTGTATTATTCTACCCTCCACTTTTTTTTTGTTTTAAATTACCTTCATTAACCTTCTCATGAATTGGTCAGCATCTCCTCTAGCAAGTAGAGGGGAGCTCCCTCTCTGTACTTTTGTATTTATGAATTGCATTAAGCAAGGAAAAAAACATATAACATATACCCACATAAAAGTTTGTACACCACTGTTCACAGCAGCATTATTCACAATAGCCAAATAGTGGAAACAACCCAAATTTATCCATCCAATCATCTCTGATGAATGGATAAACAAAACACATACAATGACATATTATTGATAGTAAAAATAAATGAAGTACTATTATATGCTACAACATGAATGAATATTGAAAACATTACACTAAGTGAAAAAAGCTAGTCACAAAGAACCATATACTCTATGATTCTATTTATATGAAATGTCCCAAACAGGCAAATCTATAGAGACAGAAAATAGATTAGTGGTAAGCTATGGCAGGTGGCGGGGGTAACTAATAGCTAAGAGTGCAGGTAATAAAACTGTTCTAAAATTGATCATAGTAGTAGATGCACAACTCTGTGAATATACTACAAGTCACTGAACTCTACTTTTTTTTTTTTAAGTAGGCTCCGTGCCTAGCATGGAGCCCAATGGAGGGCCTAAACTCACAACCCTGAGCTCAAGACCTGAGCTGAGATCACGAGTCAGATGCTTAACGGACTAAGCCATCCATGCACCCCTGAACCGTACCCTTTAAATGGATAAATTTTATGGTATGTGAATTATGGCTCAATTAAGCTATTAAAAAATGTATGTGATTAAAAAAAGAAAAAAGACTCTCCAGAGCCCAAACTTCCCATTCTTTTGCTCTGCTGATTCCCCAAAATGCCTGAAGAAAGCTCTTTGCTTCTGCTGTCTTTTCCCTAAGGCAAATCAGAAAGAAAAAATTCTGCTCCTTCAACCTACGTCAGGGCAAGGAGGAAAGTTAAGAATTCCATGAATGGAACATGCAGACTACTTCGTTAACAGGGGAAACTGACCTCACATCCACAAGTCTTTAGAAGCTAACATTAGAGCATGCGCACTCTCTCTCAAAATAAATAAATAAATAAACACTAAAAAAAAGGGGGGAAGAAAAAGGATACCAGGGTCCCAAAAATATTTATTTAAAAAAATTTTAAGTAACTCCTACACCCAACCTGGCGTTTGAACTTAACACTGCCATGAACAAGAGTCCCCTGAGAACAAGAGTAGCATGCCCTAGTGACTTAGCTAGCCAAGAGCTCCCAGGAAAAAAATGTAAAGCACCTACATACAAAGGATGAAAATGACCTGTTTCATTAGTTGAAGTGGATACACCGTGAGGAGACATCATGAGGGCAGGAATGGTCCTATGACCTGGTTTTACTGAACACTAATTATCTACACAAATCATATGGAGAAAAAGTACAGGGGACAAAAAAAAACAAAACTGAAGAATGGGCTGCTACCTCCTTTTATTATTTTTTTTCTTAAGTAATCTCCATGCCCAACGTGGGGCTTGAACTTACCAACTGAAGATCAAGAGTTGCGTGCTCTATCAACTGGGGCACCCCTTGATAGCTCCTTTTAGAACCTTAATCTCATTTTCTCTAAAACAGACTTGTCTTTCAGAAACACATGATTCTGGAAAGAAAATTACTGTCCCAAACTCCCTTAAAGGAAAATTTTAATTTTGACAACTTAAAAAAGGACAATTGGCTATCTGAAGCACACGTGCACAATGAAGCTTATGGAAAGGGGAGGTGACAAGAGGAAATGCTATGGTTATCTCAAAACCTTAACAAGGAAGGAAGAGAGTCACACCAGGCACCACCTACTCAACCATTTCCCAAAATAGAAGCAGCCAGAAGGGCAAGGGCTCTTGCCTCAATTAGGGATATAGTCACATAAACTTAAAGCCCTATGTTCAGAAGATTTTTCTTTTTTTTAATGTTTTTATATCTTTTTGAGAGAGAGAGAGAGAGAGTGAGCACATGCACGTGTGAGCAGGGGAGGAGCAGAGAGAGAGGGAGACAGAAGCTGAAGCAGGCTCCAGGCTCTGTGCTGACAGCTCAGAGCCCCATGTAGGGTTCGAACCCACGAACAGTGAGATCACGACCTGAGCTGAAGTTGGACGCCTAACTGACTGAACCACCCAGGCACCCCAAGATATTTCTATTATATAACATAGAACTATCCTGCCTTGCCTTGCCGCATCAAAGTGCCACTGGGGCTTTAACGGAAATATTACCAAAGAGTAACACTGGTCTTCAGACTTCCTGCCTAGCTGTCCCCCACCTGTCTGCCTATGCTCAGTGTACCACTACAAGTTTGAAAGAACATTACATTGACTTCTTGTTACTGCTAATCATTGGTGAAAACTCACAGTATGCTGGGCAGAAACCACAACAGATATAGTTCCCAGCTCTTAGAAAGGGCTTTCCCTGTACTCCCATTCTTATTTATTTACTTTTGTGAAGTGAGAACCACCTAATGTGATTAGTTACTTCCCACATAGTGAAGTTCCTAATACCTAAGATCTATATTTAATACTCTGTGGAGTGTATTTGTCCTTCCTCAGCATTCCATAGTTGTAGAGTAATGACTGAAAGTAAACATTTTTAAAGAGCTTTAACTTGGGGCGCCTGGATGGCTCAGTCGGTTAAGTGTCAGACTTCAGCTCAGGTCATGATTTCATAGTCCGTGGGTTCGAGCCCCGCATCAGGCTCTGTGCTGACAGCTCAGAGCCTGGAACCTGCTTCAGATTCTGTATCTCCCTCTCTCTCTCTGCCCCTCCCCCACTTGCTCTCTCTCTCAAAATAAAGATATAAAACAATTAAAAAAAAAAAAAAGAGCTTTAACCTTCTACTAACACATATTTAATATAGATACGTATGTTAGACACGAATTTATCTAAAAGCTTTCTGAACCTGTATTTCGGTCTGATCAACCTGAAAACACCATTTAACAAAGATTTCCTATTTTGTCCAGAATTTTCGTTTGTAGAAAGGATCCTAGTTCCAGTATTTTAGAATCCTTACCATCTCAACTGTTTATGTTTATGTTCTGTTTCTGTCCCTTCAGCTTTCCCCTTTCCAGATGGACCAGAGTGACATCCAAAAGTCTTTTCTTCTACATAATTCTTCCAGCAACAGAGTCTATGTCCATATACTCTCCTTACTTAGAAAGCCTTCTCCAATGCTATACTTTATACTAGACATAGGGTATAACTTCAGTGCTGGCATCACTCTTTCAAATACATTATTCAGAAAAAAACAGCTTTTCTAGCTTCAAGCACTATTATAGTGTGCCCTGCCCCAAATGAAGCCTACCTGTCCACGTCCTCCAGATTATCCACTGGCGACCCCAGTCGATCACTAAGCCGCCGCCGTTCCGGTATGCCAACACAGAAATGGTCATTGCCAACAGTGATTCTTAAGCTCTGTTCCAAAGAAGAGTCAGAACGCAGACCAGGAGAGCGTCTCTACAAAGTAAAAGATGATTTCATATTCTACAGGATCAAAACATCCCTACACCCCAAACTGTACTCCTCTGTAGTCATAAAATTATCACCCAAAAAGGAAAGAAATGGCTATGGGAAGATACTACAAAAATAAAGCATATTTTTAAAAACTATCATTTTCTTAGATGAAAGACCACACTTCCAAGCCTCCCAATCAGTGACCCCTCATTCTTTCATTTACTGGTACTGGGCATGGGACTAAAAGAGTAAATTGAGTCTGTTCTCAATCTATACATTTCTGGTGAAGCAAGCAAGCAAAAAACATGTTTTGTGTGTGTTTTTAAAGTAACTCTGATAGCAGTAAGTGCTATAAAGTCATTAAAAAGCAACAATATGAAAGACATTAGAGAAAAGGAACTACTTCAGATAGGATGGTTAAAGACCGCTTTTTCTGAGGTGATATTTAACCTGACACTTGACTGATGAGATGTCAGCCTTGCAAACAGATAGAAGTAGGTTTCTGGCAAAAAGAACAAGCTGTGTAATAAGCTTAGCATGTTCTGAGTAACAAAAAGACAACCAGTGTGACTGTAGCGAAGTGACAGAAGACAGGAAATTTGGATTTTATTCTTAGTGTAGTAATAAGCCACAGAAGGATTTCAAGCATTAGAGTGGTATGGCCTGACTACATTCTTCCTTCAGATCCTTGCATTGCTCATACTCTCATCTCATTCAAGTCTTTATTAAAGTCACCTTCCCAGGCCTTCCTTGGCTACCCTATTCAAAATTATTAACTCCTTTCTCTGTTTTTGTTTTTACTTAGTACTTAATCCCATTTAACATGCCAAAATATTTTACTTCTCTTATTATCTGACTCCCCCTACGAGAATATAAGCTCTACAAGGGCAGGGGTTTTTGACTGTTCACTGTTGTATCCCCAGTGCTCAGAACAGTGCCTAAGATGGTAGATGCTTAATAAATACTTCTCAAATGTATAAAGTGAAGATTTAAAAAATTTACCTTGATTGCTAAGTACAATATAAACTAGGTGGTAACAAGAATGGAATGTAAAGGAAACTAAGGCAATAATCCACTCTAAAGGTAATAGGGCTTAGACTAATGGCAGGTGGACAGTTTGGGGGATGTATCTTGGAGGTAGAGCTGACATGTTAAGACAGATGAAGTGAATTCGACAGTTTAGACTTGGGAGAAAGGAAATGATCACTATTTCTGGCTGAGCAATGGGTGATGTCACTGACTTGAGAAGTCTGGAGCATTGAAGAAAAGGGAAGCTATGGAAACTAGTATTCAACTTTCTTAGCTTCCTCTGCAAAACTGCTTGCTTCCTCAGACTATAACTGCTCAGCTGTGAAAATCTTAACATAGTGACAAGTCAATTCACCTAAGACCAGAGTACCTAGAGCATATCAATACTTTTAGAGAGTCACCAGAGAAAACAGAAACTTTGTCACGGGATTTAAAAAAAAAATGATGAAGTGAAAATAAAAACAAATTCCAAAACACTAGTCCCAGGCCAGAGGCAGTTACGGTGAGAGATCAATATTATGTCTAAACTTCTCTTTAAAAAAAAAAAAAGATGTTATTTTTAAAGTAGTCTCTCCACTCAATGTTGGACTTGAACTCATGACCCTGAGATGAAGAGCCCCTGCTCCACAAACCAGCCAGCCAGGTGCTCCTAAACTTAACCTCATGTTCCATTCCTTTAGCAGGGAAACATAACCGTTAAAATCATGGATGTTGGGAACCACATTCAGGGAATGAATCACAGCTACACCACTTTTTAGCTGTAGGACATTGCTTAAAGTTGCTCAAACCTCTCTGGATACCTCAACTATTCAGTAAGGAAAAATTTTAACTGCCTCGCCTCAACGGGTTGCGGGTGTTCAAAGGGAATGTGTAAATGAAGGTCTAAGCATAATCCTGCCACATAACTCAGTAAGTGGTGGTACTTATTGCAATGACTGCTCTGTATGCACAGTTCATTTCGGAGTAGCGCCAATTTGCTAACAGTTTACACTCTAGGTGTCTTCGCTGATGGGGTTTGGGCAGCCCTAACTGGCCACAAAGACATTTCAGCTTCTTTTCCAAGATCCACGGGGCAGCTCAGGTCTAAGGGGATACCAAACCACGGAACTCTAAGAGAAACAACGACTGCTGAACAAGTTAAGTACCAGCCACACAGTTTGGAGGACATTCCCCTCGCCCTGGCAAACTTTTCCGCATCACACCCAGAGTCAGAGAAACAGCCTATTCCTGAAATGATGCATTGCCTCCCGAACTAGGCGCCCGTCTAGGTCCCGAGTCCGTTATTGTGCAAAGACGCTCCCAGGGCTGACCGGGAACCTCCAGGTTCGGACGTAGCCGACGGAGCCCGTGGGGGGGTGGAGGGCCTTAGATCCTGGGACTCTGGCCTGGAGGCCTCGGGGCCCCTGTGCTGCGGGCGTTTCTGGAAGCGGGAAGCCCGGGCGAAGGGGCTAGGGCATAGAGGGAGTCCCGGTCGGGGGGTGGGATTACCCGGCTGCCGCTGTCGCCTGGATGGTCTCCACGGCCGTCCCGGGCGAAGTCGGCGCGGGACTCCCCGCGGCTGCTGCCTCGGAAACCGGCCGGGCCCGGCGGGAAGAGTCGGCGGCTCCGCGGCGGCGACGGGGAGCCGCGACGCGCCCGCGGCGGGGAGGGGGAAACGCGACGACCCCGCGGCGGGGACGGCGAGGCCCGGCGGCCGCGGGGCGGGGACGGGGAGCCGCGGCGACCCCGCGGCGGGGACGGCGAGGCCCGGCGGCCGCGGTGCCCTGAGGGCGAACGGGGACGACGAGCCGGGTTCCGAGACGAAGAGGAGCTGGAGGGCAGCGGCGAGGAGCGGCGAGCCGGGCCTGAGGAGGAGCCGGAGCTGCGGCCGGTGCGCGGGCCGCCCCCGCTGCTCTCTTTAGGCCGGTGCGAAGAGACGGAGGAGCGGGCGCCGCTGCGGTACATGGCTCTGGCAACAGCGGCCACGGCGGCAGCTCCGACCCAGGGGCGCCCTGGACGCGGGGCCCCAGCGCGCCGCCGCAGCTGCAGCCACGGCCGCCACGCGCCGCCCCCGCAGCCGGAGCCGCCCCCTCCCCTCGGCCCCGCGCCGCCGCTGGGGCCGGCCGAGCGCGCGGCCGCGGCTGGCGGTTGGACGCGCGAGCACGCGTCCGACACACCCCCCCGCCCTCCGGGGCTCCCCGCTCCTCCACTCAGGGAGCGGCCACAAGAGCCTGAAGTGGGGAGGAGCGCAGAAGCCGGAGCGAGGCAGGGCGAGGGGAGGGGAAGCGGACGCGCGACCTGCGCCCCGCACGCTCCGCCTCCGAGCCAGCAAGATGGCGACGGCTGAGCCGCCCACTTCCCCTCCCCCGGCGACCACGTGACCTCAGTAGCCTCTGCGCTGTTAGTCCGGGACGGAAGAGGGGTTTAGCCCGAGTTGGACTGGCTGTTTCGGGGTTGCTCCAGGCATGGGGTAGTATCTGGTAGCATCTTCGCCTTTTTCCTGTGCTCCAACCCTGCTAATTTAGGTGGGGACAGTAAGTGGTTATAAGTGATGGGGATATAAGTAACCCCAAAATGTTAGATATGGTGAACGTTATGACAGAGAGTGACCACCAGCGCCTCGGCCCCCACAGTAGCCGCCTCATTTTACTTTCTATTTTGTCTAATCTCTGTCGATTGAAGTTGGAGACGAGGAAATGCGAAATAGGGATAGGTCTTGGGGGCGAGAGTCAAACCCAAAGCAGACATCAGAGTACATTGTTCTATCAACCAGAATACATATGGTCCCAGGGAAGGTCACTCACTGCCAAGGGGGTCCATATCATGACAGAAGCCTGGAGAGTTTTTTGAGCAATTCAGATCCCCCAATCTATGATCAGAATTTTCCTGGACGCCAGACTGTAGTAGTCCCCAGTCTCAGAGCCTGCACACTTAATACAAAAGTGAAGAAAAAGTCAACACATAAAAGAAGAAAAACCATGGTCAAAACAGGAAAAAAAAAAAGTTGACCAGTTTTCATCTATCAACTAGAAACAAAACATGAAATTGGTATGAAAGATTTCTGATTTACAAGCAAACGCAGAACAAACAAAATCTTAATCATAAAATATTTCCATCGTCTAATTTATATATTACAATATTAAATTTAAAATATATCCAATTTCATGGCATTTGGTTATATCGTAGCTCAGTAAGAATAAATTTTTTACTAATTTCTCTTGCACAGAGCTTAGTTCACTCCTTAACATTACCTGCTTGCTCCCTATAGGCATTTGAATTTTTGATTCCTGACTTTTGGGTTTCAGGGCTTAAGGTCTTCATTATGTCAAGGTTATTAATGTATTCCATATATTTTTCAATACTTGAATGATTTTGTTTTCCATATGTAGTTTATCTGGAATTTTATGTGCGAATCCCCCCCCATAATCCATTAAGTTAAAATTTTAAATTACTTTTTACAGATAGATAGCCAATTTTGCTCAAAACATGAGTTGGGATTACCTGTATGGTGGGAAGTCAGAGTGAGGGAATGAGTTACCCAGCTAATGAATGAACTTTGCCAAATGCTCATCAACTCAATTTTGTTTTCTTTTAGCTGTGTAATTTAACAGTAAAGAGATTTTGTTAGAGGAATTTCTTTGTGAAAAGAAAACGAAATCTCAGTATTGTTGATGAAAGTAAAAGCCAGTAAAGCAGTCTAAGAAAGCAATGGCTCTTAACCAGAATATACGAGTTATATATAAGGGTTTTGTACATTTAGAACATATTTCATAATGTGTGCTGTGCAATAGAGACCTCCACTCAGAGATTTGATTACACCAGCTAAGTAGCATAAAAGACTTGTCAGATTGAAAATGGGGAAATCTCCTGCTCAAACTATAACCTAAGGCCTGTTTTTTAAAACAATAAACTTTGTAACTGCCTCTAAACAGTAGGCAGTCCAGGTAATATAGCAAAAGAATGTATAACTGCTTCTATGTATGAAATGTCTCTGGGTCACAAGACACTTAAGCTTAAATTGTTTTCCAGGAACTGAGAGGCCCACTTCCATCCAGTTCATACGGGTCTGACCTTCCTACTGGGCCTGCACAAATCTTCATAGGTGACATTTTGATGTCAAGGAGCCTGAAATCTGCCCCCCCCCCCCATCACGTCAATACCCCATCTTTGAGCATGTGATATATGAAGAAGCGTGATGATGGACTGCGCCTGCCTAAATCAACAATTCCCAGACCTTTATCTCACCCTCTCTGGCTTCCAATCACGTTCCCCCATGCTCTCTCTAAAATCCCATAAATACTCAAGAGCCCTTTTTTTCGAGAAAGGGATATGAGAGTTGTTCTCCCGTCTTCATGCTTGGCTGCCTTGTGAATAAATTCCTTTCTCTGCCACAAATCTGCAAGTCTCAGTGACTGGCTTGCTACGCATGGGGCAAACTGAACTGGTTAGGTAACAATTGAAGGGTGACAGTCACTGTAAGTTAAGCTGCCATAGAAAATAGTTCAGAGAAGGGGTGCCTTGCTGGCTCAGTCAGTAGAGCACATGACTCTCAATCTCAGACTCGTGAATTCAAGCCCCATGTTGGGCATGGAGCCTACTTAAAAAAAATAAAATAGTCCAGGGAAGATGATTTTAGTCATCTCTAGCTTGGTGCGATTAGGAGATCTGGGAGACCTTAGCAGGGCTCATTGATAATCTGTTTCCTCTCATTTGGGGCACAAAGAAAAGGACATTTCCTTCCCTCTTTGAGAAAGGGGGCCATGTGACTATTTTTATCCACTGTAGACTGTGAATGGAAGCACTTCCAGGCTTGATCAAGAAATAGTTATAAGATTTCCATGCTCTTTCCTCCCTTGCTGTGGCAACTGAGGAAGCCATAGGTTACAGATGCTATGGTCATAGCATGTCAGCCTGGGCCCCTGACTGTGTAGAGCAGAGTACCATCCCCAACCCTGAGCTGAACATACACTATGAGCATGAAATGAAGCTTTGTTATGTAAAACACTGAGATTTTGAAGGATAATTTGTGACCACAGTATGACCTTGACGAATGTGACCATTACAAAGATTTTTATTTTGGTTGTTTTGTTCTTTTCTCCTCTGTATTTTCTGACTTTTGGGTCATTTATATAGTTTATATAAAATTAAAAATCCATAAAATTATTTTAGTGAAAAAATAATTAAAAATTTGCCAGAGAGGTATGTCCTGCCTTTTTATTAGCCTATATATGAATTTCAGTTACTCATGCTTTTGGTGAGATCTAAATAAACATGAAGAAAAGTTAAAAGATATTCACAGACACTTGGAGTCAATACATTTTATTATTATTATTATTATTATTATTAAAGATTTTATTTTAGGGGCACTTAGGTGGCTCAGTTAGTGAAGCATCTGACTTCAGCTCAAGTCATGATCTTGCAGTTTGTGAGTTCGAGCCCTGCATCAGGCACTGCCCTGATGGTGCTGAGCCTGCTTGGGATTCTCTCTCTCTCTCTCTCTCTCTCTCTCCCCCCCTCTATATCTCTGCCCCTCCCCATTCATGTGTGTGGTCTCTCTCAAAATAAATAAACTTAAAAAACATAATAAAGATTTTATTTTTATTTATTTTGAGAGAGAGAGAGAGAGAGAGCATGAGTGGGGGAGGGGGAGAGAAAGACACACACAGACACAGAATCCAAAGCAGGCTCCAGGCTCTGAGCTGTCAGCACAGAGCCTGACAGGTACCTGAACTCACTATGAGATCATGATATAAGCTGAACTCGACTGCTTAAATGACTGAGCCCCCCAGGTGCTCCTAAAGATTTTATGTTTAAGCAGTCTCTACACCTAACGGGGGCTCAAACTCACATCCCAAGATCAAGAGTCACACACCTCACCAACTGAGCCAGCCAGGTGCCGCTGGGGTCGATACACTTTAAGTCAGGATTAGTTAGGGGCACCTGGGGGCTCAGTTGGTTGGGCTTCAGACGCTTGATTTCAGCTCAGGTCATGTTTTCTTGGTTCATGGGATCCAGTGGGCCAAGTCAGGCTCTGTGCTGACAGCTTGGGATTCTTTCTCTGCCCCTCCCCCTTCCCTACTTGCACTCGCACACTCTTTTTCTCAAAATAAATCAATAAACTTTAAAAAATATACAAATAAAAAAGAAATCAGAGTTAGTTATACTCTATTTCAAATTGTTCTCTTCAATCCTTCTCTAATACTGAATAACTATTTTTACCAAGGAGTTTGGCCTCCATGGTGTAACTCTTCTGCTTCCCCTTCACATCTGTGCCTTATGCATAGTTCTTTCCATGGCCTGCATGAAACTTCTTGCAGATCCCTTCACTTTTTAAGTATTTTTCAGACACAAGAATAGTCTTATTGCAGTAGTGGAAGTGTTTTGTCCAGGGTAACAAGTATCACTCTAAACCTCAGTAAAGCTCTATGTTTTTCCCACTCCCCAGCTCTTGCCAGTACAGGTGGGAAATTCTCTGTGACGAAGGGAGGGGTTCCCGGCTTCTCCACATCCCTGCCTTTACTCCTCGGTATATATTGCTCCTCTCCCACTGGCCAGTTGCTGTCTCTGAACCGCCCTCCTCCAGCATTTGGTGCAGGAAAAGAAAGGATTAGCGGGAGAGGGCCATTTTTCCTGGGTGGTGCAGGATACTGTTATCTTTGGGAGTTGGTTCCTCATGGACATAGAGGATTCACAAACATTGGATCTTTCTCTCGTATGTTACCTTTGTGGGCTTTTTTATGACTCTCCTGCTGGGACCTCAGTGATGCCTCTTTTCTGGTTGACCACCTATTACTTTTTCCCCATAGTCCCTGGCCTTGTAGAGATTCATCCCACATAAAACTCACTCTCCCGGGGTCCCTTTCCTCTCTGGGCACACATCATGGGAAAGATCCTTTCATTTATTTGTTTGTTTGTTTTAAGTTTTTATTTAAATTCCAGTTAGTTGCCATACAGTATAATATTAGTTACAGGTGTACAATTTAGTGATTCGACACTTACAACCGTCGGTGCTCATCACAATAACTGTACTCTTTAATCCCCATCACCTATTTACCCCATCACCCCACCTGCCTATTCTCTGATAAACATCAGTCTGCTATCTATAATTAAGTGTCTGTTTCTTGGTTTGCCTCTCTCTCATTTTTCCCCATGCTCCTTTGTTTTACTTCTTAAATTTCACATGGTATTTGTCTTTCTCTGACTTACTTTGGTTAGCATAATACTCCAGCTCCACCCATGTTATTGCAAATGGCAAGACTTCATTCTTTTTTATGACTAATATTTCATTGTATATATACACTACATCTTCTTTATCCATTCATCAGTTGATGGACATTTGGGCTGTTTCCACAATTTGGATATTATAGATAATATTGCTATAAACATTGGGGGCATGTATCCCTTTGGATTAGTATTTTTGTATTCTTTGGGCAAATACCAAGTAGTGCAATTGCTGGATCATAGGGTAGATCTATTTTTAACTTTTTGAGGAACTTACATACTGTTTTCCAGAGTGGCTGCACCAGTTTGCATTCCCACCAATGGTGCAAAAGAGTTCCCTTTTCTCCACATCCTCACCAACACCTATTTTTTCTTGTGTAGTTGATTTTAGCCATTCTGTCTAGTGTGAGGTGACATCTTATTGTAGTTTTGATTTGTATTTCCCTGGTAATGAGTCTGTTGGACATCTAGATGTCTTCTTTGGAGAAATGTCTGTTCATGTCTTCTGCCTGTTTTTTAATTGGATTGGGAAGGATCCTTTTAAAATGATTCCAGGTTAGGGGCGCCTGGGTGGCTTAGTCAGTTAAACGTCCGACTTTTGCTTAGGTCATGATCTCGCGGTTCGTGGGTTCGGGCCCCGCGTCGGGCTCTGTGCTGACTGCCAGCTCAGAGCCTGGAGCCTGTTTCAGTCTGCGACTCCCTCTCTCTCTGACCCTCCCCTGCTCACGCTGTCTCTCTCTCTCTCTCCTAGAAATAAATAAATAAATAAATAAATAAATAAATAAATAAATAAAATGATTCCAGGTTGGTTTCTTTGTAGGGACACTTGGCCCACAGGGCCACTTATGCATCTTTGCCCAGCTAACAAGGGCAGTACAGCTCACTCTCTATCCCACACACCTTACTTGCCATCCCAGGGAAGCAGTCAGCCAGCACCTTGCTTTTGAACTTCCTCAGGTGGGAGTTAGGATATCAGTCCCTATGGACTTCCAAACTCCAGGAGATATATGCCAAACATTCTGAAAGGCGCTAGTGGAGGCCTCTAAGTCACTTGGCTTTGGGCAAAGGGAACAAACCTCCTCCCTCCCCAGAATGGCGAAGAGAAAATTCAGAGCCCAAAGGTAACTTCCAACACAATCCTCATTCTCGTATACAAACTGTAAAACATTAGTAAAGCGGGCAGACTGGATCACAATCTCTTCCCATTTCCTTTGGAGGTGGATGGTGGGGGAAGGGGGTGCCTAGAATCTATTGTGTTGCTTTCTGCTTTTGAAGCCTTTGCTGAAACTCCAAAGACAACAGGGAGAATCTAATTAACATCCTGTCACAACTATTGTCTGTCACCAATTCAAGAAACTCTTACTAGACCCCCAATGAAATGGTGAAATGGGTACACACACACACACACACACACACACACAAACTGCAGCAGACATATAGCAATAACAGATAAAATCTGAAAAGGGAAAAGAGACCTAGGCTTTAAGACATGATACACCTATTCCCTATGAATATGTGCAAAAGAAACAGACCTTCCTAGGCTTTGAAGTAAGTCTAGAGGTAAGGGTAGCAGTCAGAGATTTCACTCTTGTGTATGGAGATATAAGATAAGTGCCTCACAGGAAGTGGAGGAGCTGGGCCAGGTTTTCAGCTTGAAGCCAAGGACACTCCAAACCGTACATGCAACCTGAACACAATTATTGCCAAACTTCTACTTGGGGCTATAGCTTTATGGGAAGCTGTGTGCCAAGTAAGTGGGAAGACAAAGGTGTTGACAGTCTTCAGATGAGAATTGAGCTTAGGCACTCCCTGTTCCACAAGCGGAATGGCTGTCCCTTGATATCACCAGTTCCTATATGCTAGCAATAACCAAATTAGAAAATATGATTTTACGTTAAAGATGATGGATTCAATCCATGCATTATCACTATTAAGTCCCTAAACCCCTCTAAAATGACAGTAAAGGGTTTCATTTGTCTGTTTTTTAAGGTGTATACTCCTACATGCAACCCGTAAATGTGAGGGAGATAATGCCCCATGGGGTGGAATTCTGATCAGTGGGAGACAAGAGCCAATGAATAATTTTTCTCCATTTCTGCCATTATCTCACCTCTCTCAGGATGGTTTCGAGAGGCGGTTTGTTTATTGAGTACACAGTCCCCAGATCCAACAGT